CTGCCTCATAGGACTTTTGTGAAGAAGGCACCAAGTCTGAAGCTTAAAGCTCTGTGGAAATGTGAATTGTTGTTGTTGTTGTTTGTTGTGAGGATCAGACGAGGTCATGTATTTAAACTTGCTTTGTTCATCATGGTGAAGTGGATAAAGAGTTGGGCTCAGAGCCAGAAAGCCCTTGGAATCATTTCCCCTCAGACACCTACTAGATGGATGAACTTGGGCAGGTCATTTAATTTCTCAGTGCTCCATAGTGTAGGCAACTCAGACCTGAAGTTTCAGAGAAGGTGCTGACCTGCATCCTCAGGAGTTTCCTCATCTGAGTTTCCTTTGCCAATAAAATCCCAGGTCCAGTCTCTATCCCTGATCATTTTAAATCACTATATAAAATGTTATCATCATGCAAGTAAAATCCCCCACAGGGCGAGACTAACACGTCTCATCTGTGTCCAGCAAGTGATTCCAAGAAACACATTCGCTGCCCCAAACACCCTTGTGCTTTCTTCCCTCCCCATCTTTGTCATGATAAGTCCTTGGATCAGAGAATGTCAGTTACTTTACAGGAGAGAGACGCTCTCAGAGGGTTCCAGTCTCTTTTTGTTTGTTGTCCTCATGATTTTCTCTTTAAATCTTCTTGAGGCAACATGGCTTTATTGGATCCCTTGCCAATGTTTTTGTGGACTTGTTTTCCTCCCACAAACTCTTCACAATTTTATGAAGCAATACTTACTCATAATCTTCTTTTATCCTTCACAAGATTTTGCAAGCAAATTTATGTTCAAAACCAGGGTTACACTTGACACTGCATTTCTCCACTTAACAAGGAGATAGTGTTTGCTGCCTGAGGTTTCAGTCTTCGCATTGTGGCAACCTCTGCATCTGTTCATTTTCTATAGGAAATCATGATAATCCATGTCATCAATTTCCTATTTTCCAGTGTATGTAGTTTAAAAAAAGAAAAAGTCAGATCTGTGCTGTTGCAATTGCATACCATATCTTCTGATCCTTATCATTTCCTTTAGTTTTGATTTTAATCTTTGCTCTAACAAGTTGATGATATAATTGCACACAGCTAATTCTGAAATAGCCCCCACATTTGTAACCAATGGCTTCCTGTCAAGATATGGTCAGTTTCACTGTGCTATTGTTTGGTGTTGGTCCAGCACCTTCCAACTTTCTTCTTGAAGGAAGTATTTATGATATATACACACACAAAGCTTCTAAGTAGTCTGCAAAGTTTTGGCCTCTTTTGATTTCTTAATCCTGAACCAGATTTTCTAATACACTTTTTCATCATCTTCCATTAGGTCCACCTTTGCATTGAAGTCATTGAGAATTAAAATATACATTGACTTAGTTTGAAAAATCTTATCAAGTTTTTTCATAGAATTTCTCTACCACCTCATCCTCTGCAACTGATATTGATGGATAAACTGCAATTATCTTTATGGTAAACTTTTTACTTATGTTCATATGACTACAAATCAAGATGACCAGAGGTCCCTTGAAATTATGTTTCTTGTCTTTAGTCACACTGACACCAACACTCCAAACTCCTTTATTTGTTTCTCCAAGAAAAATCTAAGAAATTAAAGCTATCTATAGTTATGTGAAAAAAAAGTTCTAAATCACTATTGATTATAGAAATGCAAATTAAAACAACTCTGAGGTCCCACCTCACACCTATCAGATTGGTTAATATGACAGAAAAGGAAAATGATAAATGTTGGAGAGGATGTGGGAAAATTGGAACACTAATGCATTGTTAGTGGAATTGTGAACTTGATCCAACCATTCTGGAGAGCAATTTGGAACTATGCCCAAAGGGCTATAAAAATGGGCATACCCTTTGATCCAGCAATAGCACTACTAGGACTGTATCCCAAAGAGATCATAAAAAAGGAAAAAGGACTCACATGTACAAAAATATTTATAGCAGCTCTTTTTGTGGTGGCAAAGAATTAGAAATTATGGGGTTGCCCATCAGTTTGAGAATGGCTAAACAAGTTGTGGTATATGAATATAATGGAATACTATTGTGCTATAAGAAATGATGAGCAAGTAGACTTCAGAAAGGCCTGGAAAGACTTGTATGGTCTGATGCTGAGTGAAGTGAGCAGAACCAGGAGAACATTGTTCATAGTAACAGCAACATTGTGCGATGATCGACTATAATAGACATAGCTCTTCTCAGCAATACCATGATCTAAGACAATTCCAAAAGGCTCGTGATGAAAAATGCTATCCATATCCAGAGAAGGAACTATGGAGTCTGAATGCAGATCAAAGCATACTATTTTCACTTGTTTTTTGTTTTTTCTTTCTTGTGTTTTTTCCCTTTTGTTCTAATTCTTCTTTCACAACATTAGTAATGTGGAACTATGTTTAATATGACTGTATATGTATGACCTATATCAGATTGCTTGCTCTCTTGGGGGGGAGGAAGGAGAGAGGAAAAGGAGAAGTAGAGAGGGAGAAAAATTTGGAGCTAAATCTTACAAAAATGAATGGTGAAAACTATCTTTACATGTAATTAGATAAAAATAAAATACTATTAAGTACAAACCAAAACAAATACCTAAGAGCCATCCTTTCATATATCTGCAACTTCCTTAATGTCTTCTGGTTCATTTATAGCAAGAATGTCTGTGTTGATATGGTTCAGCTCCTCTGGCACAGAGTCCATTCGTTGGTCAAGGAGAGAAAACCAGCAGTTAAATTAACACTTATTAAAAACTGTAGTGTGATTCTTAACCCTTTCTGGTCCCTTTTCTGCCCCTTTGCCAAAGCAAAAACTAGCCACACGGGAGAAATAGAGGTGGTGAAAAGAGAACCGGGATTTGGGGTTATAGGGCCTGGGTTTGAATCCTAGCCGGGCTACTTACTCCCTGTGTGAAACCTTGTAGAAAATTCTTTACCTCTGTTGTTTCAATTTCAATTCTGTATTGTACCTTCCAGTTCCAAATCTATCTCTCTCTGTTACATGGATTTCCATGGCCAAAGAATTCATCCCCTGATGTCCATCCTACTGGTGATAGGGTTCTGTGTACAAAACCAAGCTGATCCTCAGACAGGTGATTCAAACTTTCAATGGCAGAAGCTTTCCATGTGGGAAGAACCAGCCAGGGCTATATCACTATTGGTATGGCCTTTAAGAATCCAGCATCACCTTCATTCCAGTCTAAGGCATCAGATTAGAATAGTGTGTGTGTGTGTGTGTGTGTATGCAAACAAAAGCCCACCTACATTCCCTAAATACCTACCAAATATCTACCATGGCAACCAAAGTGATCCATGAGGTCAAAATGGTCTGTGTGCTTGACTCTACCCTCCATCTCCTGCTAGGTTCAGATCACTTCCTTTTCACTTGCTAACCTAGATCTGGGTTCTCCCCCCATCTATACGCCCCAGGCTGAGAATGTGATTGCACAGAATCACAGAACCTAGGAGTTGAAAAGGACCCCCAGAGACCATCTAGTCCAAAAGGTACCTAAAGAAGAATTCCCTCCATGATGTAATAAAAGTGTCTCTCAACCTTCGCTTAAAGACCTCCAGGGAAACCCCCACCTGAGGGAAAGAATTCTACTTCTGGAGAGGAAGTTCTTTCTTACCTCAAGCCTACATTTGTTTCTGTAATTGCCATGCATCCCTCTTGGTTTTGCTGTCTGAGGCCAAGCAGAACAAATCTAATCCCTCTTCCTCAGGTTAAACATCTCTAGCTTCACCAGTTGAGCCTTTCATGGCACACCCTCTAGGCCCCTAGTACCAGGACGACCTCCTGGTGTAGTGGTATAGCATCAACAGAAACACCAACAATAACTATAGCAAGCTTACATTTCTGTAGAGTTTACAGTTTATCAGGTGCTTCCCTCAAAACAGCCTTGTAGGGGCAGCTAGGTGGTGCAGTGGATAGAGTACTGGCCCTGGAGTCAGGAAGACCCGAGTTCAAATCCAGCCTCAGACACTTGACACTTACTATCTGTGTGACTCTGGGCAAGTTAGTTAACCCCAGTTGCACACACACACACACACACACACACACAGAAACAACCTTGTGAGAGTAGGAATACTCACTTTATTGTGTGCCTACTTTATAGATTAGAAAACTGAGGTTCAGAATGGTGAAGTAACTGCATCATATTTAAAGAACCAAGGCTCAAACCCAAGACTCAAGCTCTTCTCATTCATTCCTTCAGCAAACATTTATTAAGCACCTACTATGTACAGGGCCCTATGTTCAATTGGGGAGATAAGATGTTTGATAAGACCCAGTGCCTACTATTACAGAGCTTGCAGTATAGACAGAGGACAGGGCATTCACACCAATACCTGTGATCAATCTAGTGATACATGATAAGTGCATCAGAGCTGCAAAACAAAGAGCTTGGCAAGGCCCACAGTTCCATACATCCACTACAACAAAAAAAACTTGAAAGTCTCACAGAGTAAGTTACAATAGGATCTCACATGTACCTCAATTTTTCACTGGAAGCCAGGGTGAAAAGAGGACTCCTTCTATATAAATGCATTTTATAGGCAATTTTTCAGGAATTTAATTCAGTTCAATGCTCATTCATTAAGCACTAGCTGTGCAGCAGGCATTGTAGTAAGTGAAGGTGAAGTTATCCCCGCCCTCCAGGCTAGCAAACCCAGAATGATGTCGGGAGGCTGAGAACTGGGAGGGCTGAGGAGAGGCCTCCAGTAGGGAGTGGCGCCTCAGCTGAGCCTTGAAGGAAGCTAAAAGCCCTACAAGGCAGAGGGGAGGGAGGGCAGGGATCACAGGCAGGAGCCAGACGGGGGAAGGCTCTGACGCCTGATGGAGGAGATTCGAATCTGAAGACTTTGGAGTAGGGAAGCAATGACGGAATGCAGGTATCCGGCAAAGGAAAGTACTTCCAGACCAGCAATGGAAGCCAAAGCATGGTTTTTGTATTCGCCGTCATACAAAACGTCCAGGCACCTTGGGAGCAACCTCACGTCTTTGTTTTCTGTCTTGATCACAGCACTTGTCAAAGAGACCATGGAGTCACTGCAGAGCATCCAGGCCAAAGGACTGTATCTGAAGGTAGGAGATTCAGGCCGACGAGTGCAGGGAATGTGCACAGGGGCTAAACTCATCAGGGACTGACCCTCTTGGGGCCTACTGCCATGCAGAGGCTGTTGTCAGTTTGGGTATGGAGGAAACCAGCAGTGTCCAGTCATGACAACAGAGCCGAGATACACTTGGGAGGATTTTCTTATTCTTTTTGATTCATCCCCTCCAAGAAACTTGGGAACAAAAGTGTATGTGCTTCCCCTAATACACTAAGAACAAATCCTCTACCTTGCAGACACACAGTTCCTGGTATTCCCAAAGATATTTTTATTGAAGCAAATGCTTTAATGAATGACCCTTTGTCCCAAAGATTCCCTAATACAAATCCCTGTGGTTGCTCACAGTCCAAATATGAGCATTTCATTGGCAGAGGCCTGCAACAAGCGCTCTCTGCCAGTCACAGGTGCGAATAGGGCCAGTCGTCTTCCCTCTCCACCATCCTGCCATGTCTCACATGTCCTCATCTCCACATCTTACAGAGTTTCCCAAGCGAAGCAAGCTTGAGTTGCTACAGTTGTCCCATTGTTAGGTGCCATCTCCCTCTTTTGAGATGAGGACAAGACTTCTAGAGTTGCCCTCAACCCCCCATGTGCCATCACTTCCCAGCAATTTTCCATTTTTCTTTTTCCAACCAGCCCCACACTCCTTCATGCCTGTTTTCAAACAGGAATCCGTTTTTGTACCAAGTCACTCAAATGAGAGGAGGGGAGAAGGGAAAAGATTCCAACCCCCTGGGTAGGTAATTCTCAATTGCCAGTGGGGACCAGGAGAAATCCAGGTAAAGGAGGTTCCCCGGGACTTTAAAAATCTCATTGTGACCTTTTGCTTCAACCTCATTAACCAGCCACGTGAGCATTAGAGCTGCCAGCGGAGTTTTTAAAGTTGACCAATTTGCAGTTCACTTGTTTTCTCTGCCTTTCCTGGCCCACCTCCCACTGGGCAATTTGCAAGTACAAAACATTTCATTTACATTGTCTCCTTTGATCCTTACAATAATTCTAAGATAGATAGAACAAGTATTACTATTCCCATTTTATAGGTAAAGACAGTGAGGCTCAGAGAGGTAAGTTGACTTGCCTACCCTTAAAGATCACTTAGCTTGGAGTCAGAAGGTCTGGGTTGAAATACCAGGTGGACTCCTGATCAGATTGTGACCTTGGCAGTCAAATGATCTCTCTAGACTTCAATTTCCCCTCTATGAAAATAAAGGGATCAGGTCTAAGGTCCCATTCAACTCTAAATTCTAGAGTCCTCACAACACCCCCCAATGAAATAGGTCAGGTCAGTATTACTGTCTCCATTTCACAAGAGAAGGAAAATGAGGCCCAAGATCGCAATGTAAGTGGCAAAGCCAAGACTCAAACCCAGCTCTTTCGCCCTTCCACTCTACTGTGCTACCTTCCATGTTGCCTTCTTGGGTTGCCTGAAAAAACATCCCCAGGCCTGTTCCCACACACACCTTGGTGTGGATTTCAGCTCCCTGGTTCATTCCTTGACTTCTCAGCATTGTCGCCTGGAGTGGGCGCTCTAAGGAACGTCCTTCCTTGGGAAAGAAGCACTTTTGTCATCTAGCTTCTTCCCTAAAATGGCAAGACTCACACTCCTGAGGTGACTGTTAATCTGGGGAAAAGTCCTTCGTCTCAGTGAAGGCTAAAGAAACCTTTTAAGTTAGTATCCACATAAGTATCCACTGCCAAAGGCTGCAGCCAATACTAACCTTGTCTCTGCTGAGCCCTTCTGCAGTATGTGATGGCACACAGGGTTTGGGGTCAGAAGACCTGAGGTCAGATTTTAATTCTGCTTCTTATTTCCCATGTTACCATGAGCAAGTCATTTAACCACTCTGGACCTCAGTTTCTGCATTTGTAAAATCAGGGATGTTAACCAGATTATATCTAAGGAATCTTTTAGCTCTAAAGCCTACAAAACAATTGAGCCTTATTAGATAGCAAGGAAATCACAGTTCTAGGACACCTCCCTCTTACTACCACCACAGACAAGTATATACCACACGTATATTTAGTCTATAGTAGTAGTTGTAGTAGTAATTGCTTAGCACCATGTTCACCTTCAGCTGAAATTAAAGGCTCAGCTTGGAAGCAATAAATTGTCTCCCATTTGAATCTCCAGTGATGAAAGGTGAAGAGATAGTGGTAAGATTGCTACACCAAGAGGCCCGGAGGACTCCTTGAGGGCTCCTCTACTTAGTGAAATACATACAGGTAGAACCAGGGAAACCAGGCACAGCAGGCCTTCAGTCTGGAACTCTCCAAGGGACCTGAGCTGAGTGTGCTCCAATGGACAGAGCCCTCCATGTCAAGGGAGGAGAGCCAAGTTTAAAGTGCCTCTGACGTTTTCTGACTAAGGTGTGACCCTGAGCAGGTCATTTCCCCTCTGGGGGCTTGAGTTTCCTCATCTGTAAATAAGACTAGATGGTCTCTGAAGGCCCTTCCAGCTTTAAATCCTACAATTGCTTATCCTGGCTATTCCCTGTAGGGGAGAGTGCTCTTCCAGGCTGCCTGGGTTTGAGAGCTGGCTGTGCCATTGACTGTCAGAACAAGTGAGCCTCTTTCCGGCAATCCACTTGTTCATCTGCAATGTGGAGATCGTAATACCTGCCTTGCCTGCTCTCTTGAGCTGTAACACGGTGCCTTGTCCCTACTATATGCATAAATGTTTAATTCCAAAAAACTACTCAGATGTGGAGCTGTGCTGGGGAGGAGCCTGGTAAAAGCCTTCCACTATACCTCAGTGTCTCCTTAATGAAGTGTTAAGTTCCTTTGGCAGTTGGGTGCTCCTTGTTTTTAACGCCTTGTCAAGGACCAGAAGAACCTAGCATTCTCTCGGGCTATAGCCTTGGAGATCATCTTGTCCCGCTGTCTCATTTTACAGTTGAGGAGCTTGGGCCGAAGTGACTGGTCCAAGGTCACACAGGTGGCAGGTAGTAGATCGAGGTAGTTAAACCTGGGTCATCTGACCCCGAATGAACGCCGTGTTTGTCCACTGTAATGTCCGCCTCTCTCACCAGTCCAAAGGCCCCACATGACTGACATCATTTAGGAACGTTTGTGAGGATAATGCGACGGTGCGTGTAAAGCACCATAGAAATGCCGGGTCTTGAAGAAGCTCTTGGGGCTTCGGCCCCGGCTATCCAGTCTTAGTGGCCTGGAGGAAGTCGCTAGACCTCCGAGCCTCTGTTGGCCTTCGGGCACTCGTGAGACTCGTTATTATTAAGGACATTCATAGCCGGAACCCGTGTGGCCACGGGGACTCGCTCCACTTCCCCGGCCCCCCCCCAGCCAGAGCTCAGCCACCAGTGGCGCCCCAGTCCCGGTCCCGCATCCACCTGGTGCCATCTCTCTCGCAGGTTCCCCTGAAAGTGAGCCTCGCCACGGGCCGGTCGTGGGGCTGCCTGAGCCCCTTCCCGGAGGTGGCGCCCGGTGCTGCCCAGCACAGCCCGGCCGGCCTCGGTCACTAGGTCAACAGCGGCCCCCGTGGAGCCCCAGCAGCACCTCGAGCTCTGCGGGTGCATTTCTCGGCTTCATTATGTCTGTAGCCCCAGGCAACCGCAGCGGCCTGAGACTGGTTTGTACCAGCGCATTGTCCTGCGCTGGCCGGGGTAGCCGGCGGGGAGCGACTTTTGTTCCTGGCCACACCGCGCAGCCGAGAGGTGGAGCCAGCTGCCCTCCACCTTTGATGGTCAGCCTCCTGCCTCCTAGACGTGCCTCATCACCCCCCAGGCACTCGCGTGAACATCCCAGGGGTGACCGTGGCCGGCTCACGTAACCTCTGGCAGCATCAATTTCCTGGTCCAAAAGATGGGGACGATAATCCCTGCACCACCTCCCTCACCGGGTTGCTGGGAGGAAAGAGCTTTGCAAACCTTAAAAGGGAGTGAGTCTCCTTTATTCTAGAATGGTTTCAGTTTGGTATGAGGGTGGATGCAGAGCTGCTCGGCCATTGTCCCTCAAATGTCCCTGAGCGCTCGGCCTCGAGGATCGGTCGGTCAGCAGACATGCAGCAAACATGGTGCTGGTTTGCTGAAGCGATCACCCTCCTCTCCCTCCCCCTCTCCTGGAGGAAATCCCCACACCTTCCCGGCAAAATTCTCTTGGCTCCGTAAAGCCACTGGATCGTCGATTATAGTGACTGGCATTTTCATAGCACTCTGGGTTTGCAAAGCATTTGCCGCATCTCTCTAGATCTTAACTGCCCTGTGAGGCGGGCCCTGCGGATATTCTTATCTCCATTTGTCAAATGAGGAAACTGAGGCTGAAAGAGGTTAAGCGGCTTGCCCACAGGGGTCCAGATCTTTCCCCACCCCATTTTCAGCACTACGTACAGTGTACCAACCATATTAAGTGAGGGTGGGTGACAATCTCCCTTTGAGCATAACAGAGACAACCATTGGAAAAACTCAGTGTGTGCAGCTGTGTGTACCCCGGGCGTCTGCCAACAGTTTCCAGGGCAAAACTGCCCTGCTTGGGTTTCAAACCACGGCGCCACAGAGGAGTCTGGGGGCGGAATGTTTGGCTTTCATTTGACTTTTGTGTTTTGCTGAGTGTGTGTTCATAGGTGTATCCTTGGCCTTGTTTTTTTGCTCCCTTTTTTCCTGTGAACCAGAGAACCTGTTTACCCTCAGCAGTGTGAGCCTCACGTGGGCTTCTCCTGCCCAGATTTCCCTTCATCCTTCCCTAGCCTGCCTTGGGGGCCATACCCCAGCTTGTTTGTTCACCAGCCCCCATCTTCACCCCACTCTGTTCTTTGTGACAAATAAAAAAAGGGATAAACCCTTTGGAGTGAACACTTGTTTCTTGAGGAGTGTTTATTTTTAGTTGGTCTTTTTAGTGTGGCATCTCCCTCGACCCCATGCAATGGATAGTGGCAACTTGTCTGTAACTTACAGCCACCGAGATTGCTTCCAGCTCTCAAAATCTAAGAGTCTGACTCTGTTTCCAATACACTGTGCTGTATTGCCAGTAAATTAAAGGTGTAAAGTCAAGATTCAAACTCAGATCTCTAGAGTGAGGCATTCCTGCATTTTAGGAGCTCCACATTATGGGCAAAAGTCCATATGCTTTAACAAGCACCTACTGTGTGCCAAGAATCTGGGTTGAGACTTAGGAAAGAGACTTGAAGCACTGGCTGTGTGGCCTGGGGCAAGTCACTTCTCAGTGTCCTTGGCAACTTTCTGATATCCTAGGATGGCAATTTCCATTGGAGGATTGATGAAATAAAAATGATTGGACCAAAAAGAAAATAATAAACCATGGGTACATCCCTGCTCTTCACGTGTCTCAGTTTTATTGTCTGTAAAATGAGGGAGTTAAACTCCATCATCTCTAAGAATCCTCCCAACCCAAATAGTCTGTGACCCAATTTTTCCATCCTCAGGAAATGGAATCTGGCTCGCCCCCCTGGTTCCGTCTCTTTCATCACGAGCTGTGTGTACTGAGGTGCTGTTCCTGTGCACATGACCTCTGTCTCTCATCGCTGAGCCTCTGTGTGGGCTGTCCCCCCAGGTCCTCTCCCTTAGCTCCTTCCAGACCTCTAGCTCCCTACAAGGCCCAGCCCAGGCGCCACCCCTTCCTTGTCACTGCCCATGCTCCCCCAATCAATTTGTATTTATTTTGTCTGGGCCCTATATTTCCTTATTCATTATATCCCAACTCCTTGAAGGTAGGAATTATCTCACTTCTTTGTTTGTACCCTAGTGCCTAGCACATTTGGAGCTTAATACCCAAGTGTTGATTTACTGAACAAGCCACCAGACTAACCTTCCTCAGATACAGTTCTGATCACATAATTCTCGCGCTCAAGAAACTTCAGTGGCCCTGTCGCCTACAAGAGCAAGTCCAACCCCCTCCCTGTAGCATTTAGGAAGACCTTTACAAGTCTAGCTCTATGTACATTGCCAGGCTTCTCCTATTATGTTCCCTTCACATGCCCTGTATTCCAGCTGGACTGGTCTCCTCATTGCTGTCCACACATTCCCGTGCCATCTGGTGTCAGAAGGCCTGGGTTCAAACCCTGCCTCTGCTCATTACTCCCTACTGATCTTGGTTGAGTCCCTTCTGTTGGGCTAGCTCAGGCTTTTATACCTTGAGATGTACAGATAGATTTCAGAGGGGTCCACGAACTTGGATGAGATAAAAAAATAAATTTTTGCTAACCTTTTAACTGAAATTTAGCATTTCTTTCAGTTAGGAAAAAAGAAGTCATCAGTTTATAGACTTCGCCAGATGGCCAAAGAGGCCCATGACAGAAAAGGTAGAGAACCTTTGCTGGACAATCTTGAGGGTCCTTGCCAGTATTAAATCCTCTTAAATACTAGTATTAGCCTGGCCTAAGACAGTGCCACTCTCAGAGTTTAGGTGAGTTAGTGGGGTCTTTTACTTCTGCATTAGACAGCTCCAGGCCAGGAGGCCTTGGTTATTCTTCTGTCTGTCATCTGTGTCCTAGGATACCAGATCCAGAATCAGAGGGGACTTTAGAGGCGCCCTAGTCCAACTCCCTAATGTTTATAGGTAAAGCAGCTAACATCTGGAGAGAGACTTACTGAAGGTCAGAGAGACAGGAAGTGACTGATGCCAGTCTCCCGGCTTGGAATCCAGCCCCTGTTGCACTTTTCATTGCTGTCTGTGTCAAGTCAGTTCTATTCAAGTCAGCAAGCACTTATGAGGCACCTATTGGTGCTGGAGAAACCTCAGCCTGCTGCTTCTAATCTGCCTTAACCAAGGCAGAATTGAAGGTTGCTAAGGGAAACCTCAGAATTCGGCTTGTGGAATCAGGAAGCAGTTGTGCTCACTCTGCAGAAGTCAGCTCTGGGTGGAGGTCTGAGGATGACTCCCTGCCTCTTCCCCCCTCCCTCCTGCTCACCCCCAACCCTGGCTGTTTCTACCAGTCAAACATTTGCAACTGTGCCCTGAGTAATGGAGGTTGTCAGGAAGCTGGGTAAGCAGACGTTATTATCTTTGGGAAAAGTGTCCCAGCATTGACAGAGCAACTTCTCTGTCTGCCTGGTGCCCACTACTGAGCTCTCTTCTGTGAGCTCTGGTTTCATGGACATGAACAGCGCTGGGTGGACTCTGACCACAGAATCATCACTGCTTGCTTCCCCGACGTACTGGTGCAGGCTCAGTGTGGGTTCTAGAGCAGCACTTGCCACAATGCTGAACCCAACAGTGACACCAATGAATATCACCAACACCCTGCCATATGGGTCTCTCTCTCTCTCTCTCTCTGTCTCTCCCCTCCCTCCCTCCCTTTCTCTCTCTCTCTATCTCTCCCCCCTCCCTCCCTCTCCACCCCCCCCACACACACACACCCTGATAACATGCAGAAGAAGCCTAGGATTCCATACTGTGGGTTGAAACATCATACAGTCTCTTATTGGATGTGTAATCCAGTTCAGTCAAAAACATTGGGCCCCTTTGATTAGCCTGGCAGCAGGACTGGTGTAGTCAGCTACCCACAGATTCAGCTGTTCTTACAGCCCAAGCACTTCTGGGAGCAAGCAACCAGGGAGAATTGGCCCTGCATAGCATCAAAGCTCTCTTCACCTCTGCATGGCAGGGAGTATTCTCCATTCCGTGCGAACACCTGCCTTCCTTCAAGCTACATGGTTACTTGTTGCTCAGGATCCTGCTACTTATTATACAAGGTGAGTATATGTGTATATTTGTGTGCATGAATTTAACATCTACAATGGGGAAAAACAATTAGCAAATTCAGAATTTGTTTTCTATTTCTTCAAGAAAAACAGTCAGTTGTTAGCATGGGCAAGATTGCCTATCTTCAATACAGAAATCATATTTGAAAGTGATGACTGAGCCCAAATTCTTTCCCTGAAACACAGATTGTGAGAAATTCAAACACAGCATCTATCATTCAAGGCTCCTGATGCTTTTGGTAATGACAGACCTTGGTGGCATAGTATATAGAGTGCCAGACTTGGAATCAGGAAGACCTGAGTTCAAATGCTGTCTCAGGCACTTATTTAACTGTGTGACACTGGGTCAATCAGTTAAACCTCTCTCAGCCTCAGTTTATTCATCTGTCAAATGGAGTTAATAGCCCCTATATAACAGGGTCATGAGGATCAAATAAAATGAGATAAAATATGTAAAGCACACTGCAAACCTTAAAACACTATAAAAATAATGGTTATTACCTCACTTACACAAATGGCTAACCTTAAGACTAGAAGAATAAACAAGATCCCAACCAATGTACTTTCTAATTGTTTTCCCCTCTTATATGTGTGCACACACAAAGAGACATTTCATTGTGTGGTGTGTGCTCCTTTCTCTGGTGTCAATAGCCCTTAAAGAAAAGGTTACAAAACAGATTTAAGAGGGTGCCCGCTGCCAGCTCAGATTCAGTCTCCTCTGTTCTACCATTACTTGTGTTTTCTGTATAAATATTTCATGAATCATGGGTGGGGGGGAAGGGGAGAGCTGTTACTTGAGCACCCTGTAAACTTAAACTGTCTCTGTCCTCTGGATTTTGATCAGGTGCACTTGGCACCACCCTCCGGGGCCCTGCCTTGGGCAGACTCCATCTGGAATTCACTGTGTCTGGGTCTGGGCACAGCATTTTAGGAAAAGTCTGTTGAGATGAGGAGGGCCACCAATGACTGGGGACGTGAAACTCTGCTCCCTAAGGACCATCCCAAAGACCTAGCTAGGGATATGGACCCTGCGGAAGAGAAGGTTAAACAGAGATGTGACCCGTCATTAAATATTTGGAAGATTCCTAGGTGAAAGTGTTAGAACTGGGTACCAGTGGGCAGGAAGCTAAAAGGAAGTAGAGTTTTGGCTCCATGTGAGGGAGAGCTTCCGGGCAAACAGAGGGGTCCAGAAGTGGACTGGGCTATCTTACAAGGCAGAAAGCTCCCCATCAGCAGTGGGGTTCAAGCAGAAGCTAGGCCACAGTTTATCAGGAATGTTGTACAGGGACTCCTTCCTCCTCCAGTGGAGATTGGACTAGATAACTTCTGAGGTGCTTGGGAAGGTCAGACTCCCAGGCCAGGGCGATCCAACTGTCCTCTCATCCATCTCTGAGCAAATGCAAAGGCCAGACTGTTGGGGAAGCTTCTCAGTATCGACCTTGGTTTCCCCAGGCAGCCATTTCTTTGTTTTGTCCAAAGTAAGCTCCTGCAAAGGGATGCAGCTGCGATGAGCTGGAGGAAGCCCCACTGAATTAGGGGTCAGCAATTCTGCATGCGAAGCCTGATACTACCATTTCCTCTCCTTGGAGAAGTCCTTTCATTTCTCAGGGCCTCAATTTCCCTATTTGAAAAATTTGCTGTTTGGAGTAAATTACTCCTAAGGACCCTTCCCGTGCTGGATGCTAGATCTACCCAGTAATGCTGTGGATGGTTCCATGGAGGGGGTGGAGAAAGAAGGTGAAACAGTGAGGAATTCAAATGCTTATTGGAAGCATCTTTCAAACGGAGTTCCCAAGAACGATCCAGTTTACCTCCAGGGGTCAGCAAGGCCATTTGCTGCAAGGGAAGTTAAGTCTTAGCATACAGTCCACCCCTGTACACTACTACACATTCTAATGCTGCAGGTAGACACAGTGGGATGGCCAAGGGACTTAGCATGCCCCCCTGAAGATGCTGCGGGTGCAAGCAGGAGGGTGGAGGTGATTGGAGCCCCAGACCTAGCCCTGCTGCCCAGAAGGATGTGGCCTGTCACCCCAAGAATCTCGTAGACCTCGTCGCCTAATCTGCAGAGGCACAGTGGTAGAGCAGAAAGCGCACTGGCATCT